GCCGCTGGGTGTTTTTATTTTTTTTGCTATAAACAAAAAAAATGCAAAAAAATTTTTGTCAATGCAAAAATAAGCCCCCAGCATTGGTGTCAGTGGATGCAATAATAAGCCCCCAGCATTGGTGTCATTGGTGCAAACAAACTCCCAGCATTGGTGTCATGCAATCCCAATAGTGGAGCAACCCCAGCATTGGTGTCAGTGGATGCAATAATAAGCCCCCAGCATTGGTGTCAGTGGATGCAATAATAAGCCCCCAGCATTGGTGTCAGTGGATGCAATAAACTCCCAGCACAAGTACAATATTAACCCCCCCCCCCCTGCATTGGTGTCAGTGGATGCAAACAAACTCCCAGCATTGGTGTCAGTGGATGCAACAAACTCCCAGCATTGGTGTCAGTGGATGCAACAAACTCCCAGCATTGGTGTCAGTGGATGCAACAAATAATCCCAGCATTGGTGTCAGTGGATGCAACAAACCCCAGCATTGGTGTCAGTGGATGCAACAAACTCCCCATTGGTGTCAGTGGATGCAACAAACTCCACAGCATTGGTGTCAGTGGATGCAACAAACTCCCAGCATGGTGTCAGTGGATGCAACAAACTCCCAGCATTGGTGTCAGTGGATGCAACAAACTCCCAGCATTGGTGTCAGTGGATGCAACTCCCAGCATTGGTGTCAGTGGATGCAACAAATCCCAGCATTGGTGTCAGTGGATGCAACAAACTCCCAGCATTGGTGTCAGTGGATGCAACACTCCCAGCATTGGTGTCAGATGGACTGCAATAATAAGCCCCCAGCATTGGTGTCAGTGGATGCAATAATAAGCCCCCAGCATTGGTGTCAGTGGATGCAATAAACTCCCAGCATTGGTGTCAGTGGATGCAATAATAATGTCCCCCAGCATTGGTGTCAGTGGATGCAATAAACTCCCAGCATTGGTGTCAGTGGATGCAATAATAAACCCCCAGCATTGGTGTCAGTGGGATGCAATGCAAACTCCCAGCATTGGTGTCAGTGGATGCAATAAACTCCCAGCATTGGTGTCAGTGGATGCAATAAACTCCCAGCATTGGTGTCAGTGGAGCAACAAACTCCCAGCATTGGTGTCAGTGGATGCAACAAATATTGGTGTCAGTTGCAACAAATCCCCATTGGTGTCCCAAACTGCCCCGCATTTGGTGTCAGTGGATGCAACAAAACTCCCAGCAAGTGGATAACAAACCCCAGCATTGGTGTCAGTGGATGCAAACTCCCAAACAAACCCCCAGCATTGGTGTCAGTGGATGCAATAATAAACCCCCAGCATTGGTGTCAGTGGATGCAATAAACCCCCAGCATTGGTGTCAGTGGATGCAATAAACCCCCAGCATTGGTGTCAGTGGATGCAATAAACCCCAGCATTGGTGTCAGTGGATGCAATATTAAACCCCCAGCATTGGTGTCAGTGGATGCAGTGGATGCAATAAACCCCCAGCATTTGGTGTCAGTGAGTACAATATTAAACCCCCCCAGCATTGGTGTCAGTGGATGCAATAAACCCCCAGCATTGTGTCAGTGGATGCAATAATAAGCCCCACACCTGCTGCCACTTTTTGAAAAGTTTCCTGTGAATGAATGAACTACAAGTACTGTCAGCACTGTGGCTGACGGCTTGTAGTTCTGAACTGTGAGGATGCTGACAAGCCCCCTTTTGGTTCTTTCACAAGTCATGCAGCTTTCAGACAGACAGCCCTTCTCCAGAAACCTGACAATGCATCCACAGATCCCGGGTGCAAGGCTTTCCAAGCTCCTGCAGGAAAGAATACCAAATACACATTTTTTTTCTACAAAAACAAATGCATTTAGTATTTTTTTCTGCAAAGGTGAACTTTTTCTTTAGCCCTTCATCCCCCGCCTTGCATTAATAGTCTGTGGCAGTGAAAATTAACCACACACACACGTGGTCAGTGGCAGCAAACATCAACCTGTCCATAATTTCCCCCATCCCAGACCATGGCAGGGAAAGTTTAACCTCCCCTCCCCCATCCATCTCACCAGATCACAGGCTCTTGCACCACTCTCCCTGTCCCTTTCCCCAGGCTGGGACATGACATGTACTGGGGACAGACAGAACTCCACAGTACATTCGCTGAGGCTGGCACATTTAGACTGGTGGGGGAGGGACTGGCACATATATGATGTGGATGGGGGAGAACTGGCACATGATAGATATATATATAAAAAAAGGGGGGCTGGTACTTACAGACTGTAGAGGGGGACTGGAACACAGACTGCTGGGGGGGGGGGGGGGTGCAAGGGACGGGCACATATAGACTGGTGGTGGAGGGGGGGCTGCCACATATAAACTAGTGTGGATGGGGGTGCTTGGCACACATATACTGGTGTGTGTGTGTGGGGGTAGGCTGGCACATATAGGACTACTGGGTGGTGGTTGGGGCTGCCACATAGACTGGTGGGTGGGAGGGGGACTGGCACATACAGATTGCTGGGAGGGGCTGGCAAATATAGACTGATGTTGTTGGGGGGTGGCACATATATAGAGGTGAATGGGGGGGCACACAAATATACTGAGGGGGCACATATATAGACTGGTGATGGGGGGGGGGGCGGCACATATATAGACTGGTGATGGGGGGGGGGGGCGGCACATATATAGACTGGTGATGGGGGGGCGGCACATATATAGACTGGTGATGGGGGGGGGGCACATATATAGACTGGTGTGATGATGGGGGGGGGCGGCACATATATAGACTGGTGATGGGGGGGTGCACATATATAGACTGGTGGGGGGGGGGGGCGGCACATATATAGACTGGTGATGGGGGGGGGGGGGCGGCACATATATAGACTGGGTGATGGTGGGGGGTGGCACATATATAGACTGGTGATGGGGGGGTGGCACATATATAGATTGGTGTGGCGGGGGGGTGCAGGCATATATAAATTTGGGGGGGGGTCTGGCATATACAGACATATGGACTGGGGGGGGGGGGTTGCACATATAGATAATGGAGATGAGGTAGCACTGTGGGGTGATAAGCTCTCCACCTATGTGCCCCCCCCCCCCCCCCTCCTATACACAGTCAGCTCTCTCCATACAACACACTGACCTCCTCCAGTCCCGGCTCTCCCGCTCAGCCCTTCCCCAGCACTCCTCAGCCGTTCTGTCCCCGGTGGCCCCCATCACCCGTCAGCCTGCCGTTGATTTTCTCCTCCATCCTCGCCCCTCACAGAATGTCAGATAAAATGGCCTCCGCAGGCTAGAACGGCTCTGTATGAAACTCAGCTGAGCCGACTTGGAAGGGAGACATCTTCTGGCTATGGCCGGTATTGCCGCTGTGGAGAAATAGAATAATGTCTGCCATCTAGCGGCTAATTTAAAGAATACACACTAAAATCACCTCATTATTATTGAATTAGGAATAAAACTCTATAAAATGGTATAAAATATATTGGGGTACATTGTTGTATGAACGAGATATTGTCAGTCAAAGTATGGAGGCACTGACACTGAAAAGTGGCAGTTGGTGTGAGTGAGTGAAACTGGTTCCAGCCGGTTTAAACGAAGCACAGCTCTGGCGGCCATCTTTGTTCACTAGGAGACGACTCAGATGCAGCTCTGAAGAGACTCTCCAGCGAATTCCTATAATTCTCCTAAAATATTACTAATATTATTCTACATCACATTATTATTGCTGTGTGATCATTATTATTAGTAATTTTCTCTATTTATTAGCTGTTTTTTTTCCAGCTAAAGCAGCATCTTCTACCATCACTATGCCTTGCCACGCACGCCGAAACCCTCGCAGAATGCCGTCCCGCCAGCAGGACCCAGCAGGTGAATTGATTGTACCATAATGAGAAATGTTTTAAACCTTTTAAAATATGTTTTTGTCTTTTACTGCCAGTTTCAGGCTGATTTCTGTGGAGTTTATAGGTTTACAGAGGAACTCCGGGATGACCCCCAAAACCTCTTAGATCACTAAACCTATAAACCTATAGAAACCACTAAAGTGGCAGTTAAATCCCTCGCTGTTTAGGAGGAAAGTCAGTTGGGAAATGTATTAGCCGTCTCTTTAACCCCTTAGTGACAGGAGGGGGAAACAAATGTTAATGCATCAGCCAATTCTGCACCTATGACATGTGTTAGTAAAAACTGTACATATCATCGCAACCACTTTGTGTATCCGGATGGATTATACCTTGATTTTTTCAGGACAAATTGGGCTTTCTTGTGGCGGTAATTGCTAATGGATATCCCTGGATTTTTCCTTATTATCAAAGGAAAACTGGCCCCAAATAGTAGAAAAAAAATCATTTTTTTTAATTTAGCTGTATGATTCTTGCTATTACCATAATTTACCACCAAAGAACAACCAATAGCACATATAATGAATAGAGAACAAGAGGGCACCACCATCTAAGTGTAAAAGGTAATAGGAAATAAATGGTTAAAAACAAGAATTGGGCTTGCCGTCATGCCCTCCTGGAACCATGGAAGACTGCAGCGTTCAGCAAGCAGCTGGCTGGACATTGCAGAGTTAAAGTGGAACTTTAGTCAGAACACCAAATCCTGCTCGATCACTTCATGCTGGCCCCTTTTGCAGGTTCAGCCATGTAAAACATTACAAATAAGTACCTATACAAAGAATCCTCTAACTACAGCCCGCAAGCCAGATATGGCCCGCCAAAGACATTTACCCTGCCCTCCAGGCCAGCCAAAAAAAAGAAGAGAGAAAAAAAATATACAGCACCGGCTGGCAAATAGCTAGGCTTTTCGCTGTACAGTGTACAGTGCATTGAGGTGTGAAGTGCGTTACAGTGGACAGTGCATTGCGGTGTGCGTTAGTGTACAGTGCATTTGGTGTGGGTTAGTGTACAGTGCATTGCGGTGTCCAATGCGTTACAGTGGACAGTGCATTGCGGTGTAAATTGCGTTACAGCAGAGCTTAAAATTTCAAGTCCTGAGCTACTAGCCAGGCCTTAAGAGTTACTCGCCACCAACAAACACACACAAACAGAGACACCTGTACACACACACACACAGACATGAACATACACACACACACACATAGACACACATACAGATACATGTATACACACACACACACATACAGACACATGTATACACACACACATACAGACACATGTATACACACACAGGCACGTACAGACACGCATACACACAGATACATGTACATACACAGAAATACACACGCACAGACACATGTACATACAACACAGACACATGTACACACAGACACATGTACGTACAATGCACAAACACACACACAGACACATGTTCACACACACATACATGTACATACACGTAGACACATGTACACACACAGACACACACACACACACACAAACATGTACACACACGCACACATGTTGTTAAGTGCTCTCTCCTTTCCTCTGAAGCCACCACTGGCTGACATAGAGGATCATGTGACCAGAGTGAGCTGAAATTAGGTAGACACACGCACACACACCTATAAAAAGTTGCAGTACTTCGTTGTTCACTCACAGAGACGGGTACTGCACTCTAGGGGGATGCAGAAAGCACAGCACACACTCCTTCCTTTGCTTTCATTGCTCTCAGCTATTGAGCAGTCTGACAGCTCCCAGTGCCAATGACAGATCCGGCCTGAGCTCCGAGCCTGCTCCAGCAAGACAGCCTGGGGGACACATTCGCCCCCACCATAATTTCCACTCACCATTGGCGAGCAGGCGAGTGGACATTTCAAGGCCTGCGTTACAGTGTACAGTGCATTACAGTGTCCAGTGCATTTGTGGTGTCCAAGTGCGTTACAGGTACAGTGCATTGTGGTGTCAAGTGTGTTAAAAAGCACAGTGCATTGCGGTCCAGTGCGTTACAATGTCCAGTGCATTTTGATGTCCAGTGCATTACAGTGCATTTTAAATATTGTATTGTTTTTTCCTGTTTTTTTTGCACTAAAAATAAGATATGTGCGGTGTGCATAGGAATTTGTTGATATTTTTTCCAAACTATAGTCTGGCCCCCCAACAGCGTGTAGGTCAGTTAACTGCCCCCTATTTAAAAAGTTTGAGGATACTGTTTAAAATCCTACACTGTCTCACTCTGTTCTGCACATGCTCAGTTGCTCTCTAGTTATAGGCACTGTGCTGAATTTGTAAAGGCCAGTCAGCTTACAGCCTAAAGATTTAACGCTGCTCAGGGCTCTGGGCTTCAGCAAGATGGTAGCCCCCAGCAAGATAAAACAGGAGCATGGCTGGAGGCAATTTACAACACACTCTAATTTTGGTAGCATAATTAATAATATGGAATGTATGTTCCTTGCTAAAGAACATTATTTTTTATCAAGTTGTTATGGGTAAAATTCCACTTTAAGAAAGGAAGCTGCTGGTGAGAGTAGAACCCACTACACAGCTGTAAGTGTGGACTGCAAGCCGCACTGCCCGCACTGTCTGCTGTGTAGCGGCTATTTGTTGTTTGTAGTAGGGCCCAGAAATAATAGTACACATTTTTCATTTTTATCCTACCTAAAACACACTGACATTGATAATCATGGCTGGAACTAGGGTGGGCGGAAGGGGCGGCTACCCTGGGTGCGGTGGTTCTATGTGAAAGGGGGGGGGGGTGCCCCATGAAGAGTTCAACTGCTGCCACAATCTGGGCGCTGGCTTCTATCTCCCCTCCAGGTTCTTCCTCCTGTCACTGCTGTGCTCCTCGATCCGGACTGTTACATCGAACTGAGCAGGATTTGCTTACCTGCCCCCTATCCACATTCTTTGCTGGGAGGAGATGGGGCCAGGTAAGCAAATTCTGCTCAGTTCTGATGTCAAACAGTCCAGATCGAGGAGCATGACAGTGGCAGGAAGAAGAACCTGGAGGGGAGATAGAACCCAGCGCCATCTGACAGCTACTGCAATCTCCATTGTGAGTCTCCGCGGTGCTATCCCACACCCCCGCACCTCTCCCTGTCGCTGACTGTCAAAAGTTAAAAGCATCTTCCCCCAGGCTCCTCTCTTCTTGACTCCTCACAGTTCAGGAGGAGCTTGGGGGAAGCTGCCTTGCCTTTAACATCCCACAGACATCTGCAGCAGCATTGTATGTGAGGTCTTTGTGTGAGGGAGGGGGAATTAAACTGGGTACACACCTGGAGGGGGGGGGGGGGGTAGCATATAGTTGTGCTGTGGAGCACAGTATTTTGCTAAGAGGGGGAGGGAGAAGCGGATTAGTGGTAGGAGGAGAGGTTGGGGGGGGGGGGGGATATGGGGTAGAAGAAGAGTAGAGGGGGGTAAATCTGTGCTAGGAGAGAGTGAGGGGATTGGTGAGGAGGATTTATGCAGGGAGGAGAAATTCGGGAGGGGGTAAGATTTGTTCTAGAAAAAAATTGAAAAAAACTATTTGGGAGGGGAGGGGGTAGAAGGGTTTGGGCTGTGGGGAGATTTGTGCTGGGGGGTTGGCTTTTTTGGGAGGTTGGGGGGGGTATTGAGAGGGGAGCATTTGTGCTAGGAGGGGAAACTTTTTTGAGGGGGGTTACAGTATGTGTTAGGAAGGATGATTTGAGGGGGGTTATTAGGGACGATGGGGGAGGTATGTACTAGGGGGGTAGTTTTGGTGGGGATTTGTGCAAGAAGGGAAGATTTGTGCTGGGAGAGGGAATTCTGGGGGTGATGGGGGGTAAGGTTTGTTGTAGGAGGGGAAATTTTTGGGGAAAAAGATTTGTGCTGAGGGAGATTTGGGGGTCTGCTAGGAATGGTAATTTAGGGGGATTTGTGCTAGGAGGGGGGATTTGGGAGGAGAATTTATGCTAGAAGGGATGTTGAGGGGGACTTGTGTCTAGAGGGGGGGATTTGTGCTAAGGGGGGGGGGGGGATTTGTGGAATGAGAGGATTTTGTGCTGGGAGGGGGGATGGAGGAGCATAGAGCCCTTTTACATTAGGTATGCTCATCAGAGTGCCACATTACATTAGATTTCCCCATCGGAGTGCCCCTTTACATCAGCTGCTCCCATCAGAGTGCCCCCTTACATCAGAAATCCCTATCAGAGTGCCTCTTTACATCAGGTGTCCCATCAGAGTGTCCTCTTACATCATATGTCCATATCAGAGTGCCCCTTTATAGCAGGTGTCTCCATTTATATCAGCAGGAGCTCCTTAAATCAGGTGTCCCCATCTAAAAGTGTCTCTTAAGTAAGCCATACATGGGTCAAATTCAAAAAATCTTTTCTAAGAATTTTTCGTTCGAATTTGCACCATTAGTGGGGCCGCAAGCAACGGCTGATTTTCGATACGGAGACGACCATTTAATTTGAGTGATCGGGCATGCTGTAAATTTTTTGAAAAAAGGAAAGAATTTCTAATCAATGATGTGAGAATCATGCGAGAAATGTAATCAAAAAAGAAATGCGCATGAGCTGTGACTAATAAAGAAAGAAAATTCTTGGTCACGAAAATTCTTTTCTGTAGCAACACAAGTTGAAGGTTTGGCTGGTCAAATTTCGAAATCAATGGTAGGCACAAGAAAAACCATCAGATTACAAAATGCACAACATTTCTGATTTTCTAAAGAAAATACCAACATTTCATGGAAAGAAAGTATGAACGGCAAATCGTCTTTTGGCCCTGCACTCCCTGAGATACAGGATTCAGAGCTGAGTCAAGTGAATCCAATCAGAGGTGTCGCTAGGAAAGCTCTGCCACCGGGGATGGGCGTTGACAATAGGGGCGTGCTAGGAACCCAACCATGGTTTTTTTGCGCTGACGATGGGAGGGCTGGCGTCAAGACAGCTCAGAGAGGTCTGAGACGCAGCTGTTTCCTGCCTCCTAAACAGTCAGCATGGTTTCAGTGTGCAAATGGAAGGGGCACATAACATTCGTACACCAATCTGTGCTCAGTGCAGACCCAAAAACTGAGGTGATCCAGTGGTCTTTTAGACTTCACGATACATGCTCTTCACTGGTGTAGAGCCAAATAGGGGGGGGCGAAGTCTGAGGGCGAACTGTGTGGTTGTAAATCTTCTGGCTAAGTGTTATGTGGTCCCGGATAGCAGCCTGGCTTACAGTAGTGGCCGTAGTTAATTGGTAGGGGGACTGGAGGGGTTGGCGAGTGTTGATTTTTGTTGTGTGTTCGATTTAGCTTTGTAATGTTGTTGTTTGAGGATTTTAAGAAGTCGGGTTCAGGCTGCGTCTTATTGTGGAGTACTAATGCCGTTATATATCTGACTGTTTAGTGCGGGGGGTAGGGGGATGGAAATGTTGGGTAATGAGCTATGCGTTTTAGTAGAGTTTTAATGTTTAAAATGGTCGTAGTGGGTGAAACAGGAGTGTCACAGACGGGCGGGGTTGCTAGGTGGGCACAGTTGACGAGAGGAGGAGAAGAAAAGGGAATAAAGACGGAAAGGTAGCAGTTGGTAGCTGGGTCGAGAGGGGCAGGGAGGTGTACGTGTAGCGCGGAGAGCTGACGGTAGGAAGTTGCGAAGAAAAAGTAAGAAAAAGAGGGGGAAACCGTAAACCAGAAAGGAGCAGTCAGAAGAAAAAGGATGAAGAAAAAATGGAAATGGAAAGTAAAAGAGAAAATGAGCAGGCGAAGGGGCGGACTAAGATAGTGAAAAAAAAAGAAAAAAAAGTATAAGGGAGTGGGAAGGGAGAGTATAAAAAGAAAAAGAAAAAAAAAAATGGGAAAGGAATAAGAAAAAAAAAGAAATGAAAAAAAAAAAGGGAAAAAAAAAGAATAAAAGAAAAAGACATGATACAGAAAAGAAGCATAGAAAGGCGGAGAAAAAGTTAAGGTAAAGGATGAAGAAAAAGAAAAAGAAAAAAAGAGTAGTTGGGATCAAAAAGAGTCAAAGAAAGAGAAGTAAATAAAAGGGAAAAGGTAACACGAAGAGAAAGAAGAAAAGGGTTTTTGAAGAGGATAGTTAGAAGAAGAAGTCAAGGTTTAGAAGTGAAAAAAGCAGGAAAAAAAAAGAAAAATGGGGTAAAGAAAAAAATGGAAAAGAAATGAGTGAAGGAGAATGAAAGAAAAAAGCCGGAACAAAGGAGAAGAAAGAGACAAATAAAAAAGAGAGGGAAAGGGGTGGCAAAGGAAAAAAAAAGGTAAACGACAGGATAAGAAAGTCAAAAGGAGAGGAAAAAAAGAAGGTAGAAGAGAAAAAAAAGAAAGAAGAAAAGGGCGGAAAAAGGCGAAAGGTAAAAAGGAGAGCGTAAAATAAGTTAGAAAGTTTTAGAGAGAAAAAGAAAGAAGAGTAAGAAAAGTGGAGAAAAAGGAAAGGAGAGGGAAAAGAAGGGGAACAAAGTAAGGAGGAAGGAAAGAAAGGCAAAAGAGAAAGTTGGAGGAAAAAGTAAAAAAAAGTAGAATTAGCCAAAAAAAAAAGAAAAAAAAAAAAAAGAAAAAAAGAGAAAAAGAAAATAAAGAAAGAAAAAAGAGTAAAGTAAGAATTAAGAGAGAGAAAGAGAAAAGTAAGTAAAGAGGTAGAAGAAAGGAAAGAGAGAGAGAAGCAAGAAGAAGGAAGGAAGGGAAGGAAAGGAAGAAAGTAGAAAGGGAGTAGATAAAAGAGAAGAAAGAGTAGAGTAGAGAGTTTCTGGGAGTAAAGAAAAAAGTAGGAAGAAGAGGAGGAGGAAGAAAAGAGAAGAGAAGAGGGAAGAAGAAAGAAGAAGGGAAAAGGAAAGAAAGTAGAAAAGTGAAGGAGAAAAATGGGGAGGAGAGAGAAGGAGGAAAAGAGTGTAAGAGAGGTAGGAAAGAAAGAGGAGAAAAAGCGAGAGT